CGCTGACGGCCCAAAAGGTAAAAATTACGATTATGCGCATCAACGGCCATACTATTGACTCGAAGTGGACTCACTTAAAAGACATTTTGTTCAGGAATAATTTCAAACACTTTGCAGCGGCAAAGCAACGCCACGCATTGCAATTGGAGAGTTCATAGCAGACGGCCGGAAGGTAAATTAAAGAGTTGGGCTGCAAATGTAATACAAAATCTGGCGTTGGCACCCGAAACATAGACGGAGGAACGTCTCAGAAAGTAAGGGAGCTCATAGTCATACTGTAGTCGATTCTTCCCATCCATTGTCATAACGTTAATGCTCTACATACATTCTCAGAGTGTCTAATGGTGAGGGTGCCATAACACTCACGGAACCCGCGTTTCAAGTCTAGGAAGAACCATTGCCGTCTAAACCATGTCAAAATGATGTCCACCACTGGTTGCACCGATGGACACTATTTTGGAATGTTTGTTAAAGACCGATAATGCCGGTAACCGAAAACGTTGAGCCAGTTCGTCTTTTTCCGGCCCCATTGACGGCTCAGTGTGGACATGCCTGAATGCGGTTTGTTCATGGATTACTTGGACCTTCTTGCAGTAGTTTCTTGAGGAAGCCTGCTGGGAAAGGTGGTTTTCTGCCATTATCAGGTTCCACAGTGATACGAAACGAAGACCATAACTCGTGTCACGTGACGTCATGAGCAGAAGGTAAAACGCAGCTCATTTTTCATTTATTTTTCAAATGGCACAAGAATGTAAGCCACGAGTACGTAGGTAGATGCACGTACACCATAACAGTCTCCCGGAACGACGTGAGCAGCGGGAAAATACAGCCCGAAAAACGTGTCCCACTGATAGTTTTCAACTGATGACCGATTCATTTGTACCAGTGACGCCATCAGTGGGATGAAGGACACGTGTTATTACGAATACCTGCTTGGTTTTCATTGTTGCCATCATAATTGGCTGATAAATCCTTGTGATATTGTGAGAAGTAAAGAAGTTCGTTTTTTACACTTCTACCAGTGACGTCATGACTAGCAACAAACTTGTCATTGAGATGATTTACCCAGCCTGGCAGCGACGTGTCGTCAGCTGATTAGCCGGCCCTCATTACAGACCTAAGCCGACGCTCTTCCCTCCGCAAACATTGTCGGCCGGAAGGTAAAGAACACCCGCTTATCATCTGCCCACTGGATGTGCTAGCAGGTTATGGGTCATCAAAGGAAGGCTACGTGGTATAACCTCCAAACAAAGATGATGCAATCAGGATAATTTAATCGAGCTTTAACATGCCCACTACCGTGTCATATGATCAACCCACCTCAGTGTTTAAACTAATGTGCCCACACAGGTTGCGGTTTCGCCAGCTCCGCACAAGATCGAATGCATTTTACCGCTTCGGTACGTCCCATTCAAACGCCATTCAAATCCCAGCATCCAGATCCACACCCCCACGACGAGCGAATAGCGAACAGCGACCTGCTTCCTTATTGCCGCACTCCATTCTGAAATGTACGCGAGGACTAAATAGCCGACGAAACTTGTCATTCACGCACTCCAGCCCTATGATGTCAATCGACACAATGTCCTCATTTTTTATAACGCTCAAATAGAAATCCATTCCTCTAAAAGATAATTACCTTGAATCAGGTCTAAAATCACCAAAGATGCAAAAATCCGTTACACCAGTACACCGACAGCCTAATACGCAAGTCTATGAGGCTGATCTCCACCAAATCCTCACCAGTCGATGCGCCGGGCTAGGTATCATATCCGTTCCAGAACATGGCAACCCTGACTCAGCTCAAAATCGCTAACACTCCCCAAACCACAAAAATTGGCTGCAGTCCAATGCCCCGAGTCTATAAGACCGATTGCCACCAAACCTTATGTTCTCGCGCCTTCAGCCAGCGCGCCGCGCCAGCCGTTACCGCGAAATATCACATCGCACCAATCGGCCACATCAATGAATTGTGGCTCAAATTAATGCACACTTGCTCCGCCTGCCACGCGGTATGGATGTGTGGACCCGGAAGAGTCGATTTAGTATTCACCACAGAGCAACCCTGGCACAGCGAAGCAGGAAGGGAAAGACAATCTCATTGTACCTGTATATTACACACGCCACCCGACTTGTGGTGAATATGCATTCACTGACATACAATAACAAACGCGCATTTTTATGAATAAAAACAAACTACGTATATTAAGACACGCGAAGGAGTCTCCCGTAAAGGCCACAGAGTCCCACCCTCTTTGACCCGTCCCCAGCAACCCACCCTATAGAGGTCACTGTGCGGAGTGCCTACAGAAGCCGCTGTCCACGGCCCACATCACGCTCGCCCTGGGGTGGGGCGTTCTCTTCCCCTCCCCCCCCCCCCCACACACACACGCAGTACTCGTCTGCGGCACCAGGGATGCCTGGTACTGTTGTTCCCGCCACCTAGCGGCCGGCCGCGTCTCCAGTGCCGGTGTAGCCGACAGCCAGGATGACGGCCACCTGGCGACAGATCTCGGAACCAACGACCTCGAGGTGTCCGGTGCAACCGGACTCGCGCCATACGGGAGAAGGCGCCCGCGCTCCTTCCACCTTGGGCGTAAAATGGTGGCCGCGTGCGGAGAACAAGTCGCGCACCACGAGGGGTCGAATGTTTTACACAAACCTTTGCCAATTCCCAATCGATGTGCCATGTTGCCCTCCCCCCTATCCTTCGTAGAATGCGGTAACCTTGGGTCTGGTCAAAGGTCAAGAAAAAAACGCTCAAAACCACCAAAACTGGTTGCAGGCAACACTTTTCTCCTAACATATGGAACTGATCTCCACGAAACCTTCATCAAGGTTATGCGCCATGGTCGATAACCTGTCCATTGCAGAACATGGTGATCTTGGGTCACCATGCGTGCCGTGTCACCATACATATGGTGTACGGTCATAGATCGGCACTGTCCAGCCCATACCATACGGTGCCGCCGAGAGGGGGGGGGGGGCTGCCCATGGCTTATAGACGGTCCTGAGCTGCGCCAGGTCAGGTCTGGGCGGCACAAAACGTACCAGGCCTGGCGAGATCTCGGGACCAGACCAGGCATGGAGTCTCGAGAGGACTTCTGCCGCTTCCGGAACCCGGTCCGGAATTGCGGAGATTTTCTCGGCCGCCAGCCACTGAGTTCCAACGGCCGATATTTTTGGTCCCACCTCTTGGCGCCTTCCGGCTCAGCACTTCCAGCCCAAACCACCAGCCACGCAGAACAACGAATTCTCACCAGGTTCTTGCACCAGGGCAATCGCTTCAACCAGTTATCTCCGTCGGTGGGCTCCCGGATCGCGCACAACCTGAGAGTAACTGGTCGGGAACGGCGACCGCCTACCGTCGTCTCGGCGCCATTCCAGCCCCAGCCAGCCGGAGCTGGTGGGAGCTGTGTGACGCATGAACTCTTCTGAAGCTGGTGATTGGATGGGGTGTCGGTGGGGCCAGTCAAGAGGTGTTGCGCAGCGATAGGCCGCCGTATGTAGCGCGTTGTCAACGCTTCCGTGACAAAGGGCATTTGTTCCCGATGGGTCGAAAACTGCCGAGGTGGTTCCCATTCACAAAGCGAAAGGCGACGTATACATGCCCTCTAGATATTTAGTGACCTCCCTGCCGTCTTGCTTGTCTAAAAGAGCTAAGAATATTGTCTGCAATAACTCTCTCGGTATCTGCATAACCACAGTAATTTATTTCATGACCAATATGCAGATAGGCCTTGCCACTGCACCGAGGACGCCGTGCCCGGCGCTGTCGAATGAATCAAACACAACTCAGAACGCGGCGAGATTTCCCCAGTTAACACCGCCGACCTCAGCAAAGCATTTGACACGGTTGACGATAGCATCCCGTTAAGCTGGGATGGTACGGAATCAACCCAACATGGTTCCGAAGCTCTCTGGATGATCAGAAGCCGCTGGCTGGCGAGAGGCGGTACGACGACTTAACCGGTCCGCTTCGGTATGCCCCAGGGATGCATCGCCAGGCCGATGCTCCTTAGCTTATATACAAATGACCTTCTCTGTCACAAACCAGTTTGTCGAGTGGCAGCATACCCTGACGACGCTCTGCTGCCCGACCACTCGCCGCTGCTTAAAGTACGTGTAACCCTTCACAACCAACTCACCCGCTACGATTCAGCGTATGTGTTTGCTGCGTGTGTGCGGTCGTGTGTATTGTGTTTATCCGTGGCGTCACGCCGGGCCACCCGCTCATCGGAGACCGGAGCTCTGAAGCTCTGCCGGGGCGCAAACTCTCGGCCAATCGGAGGTGGTTTGCTACCGTGCTGCCTCATCGTGGAGCGAGCTGCCGACTTAGGTTTTGTGCTCATTGTGCTCAGAAGAATGGGCAGCATCTGTATGCAAAATTGCTGGCAACCCTGTAAGTCCGCTAGATCTAGAATTAAAAGCTGAGCCAATGTTAATAAAACGCGCTTTTTAGCGACATCGGCATTTGAATAAGCGACCTTGAAAGGCTGTAACCTTTCGGAAATGGTGTACCGGTCTTAGGTTTTGTGTTCATGGCAATCAAGAAGTCAAAATCCATCTGCACAACGATTTCCAAGAGAATTAAAGGGGTTCGCTTTTTTATCATGATGTGCGATGCAGGCTGTGTCGCGGTAATTGGGCGGTAGCCGGTTCTAGATCTGTGCTCATGATAGCCAAAGGACTCAACTGCGTCATCAGGATATATTTCAGGTCAATCTGAAGTGTACGCTGAAATCTGGTATGGACCTAAATATGAATGTGAAATGAGAGTCTGGTGCCAACAGAACAAGCCCGTCCGCTGCACATTTTTTTGGACAACCCGATGTTTCCCTTAATATGGCAGTAATATGGGAGCATTAATATGATTAAGCTACAATTAATACGCGACGGAGTCAAACACACACTGTTTACAAAACAGAAAGATAGGTGGGTGCCCGCCCTTCCCGCCAGGGTGAGAGGCAGGCGACGCAATATAGCCTCAGCGGCTGAGTGTGTCGTAAAGCCCCACTGACAGACAGACAAAGATAGGTGGGCAACGCGTGGTTGTTGAGCGCAGCGTTATGGGGCTTTGGGTGGGCGTGTTGGTCATTGCTGCATTTGTTTTTATTGTTTTTATTGTACACCATTGTATTGTATTGTACACATATTGTTTTTATTGTACACCAGTCGTCGTGTTTAAGGCAGGACATATCGTAAATAATGTCAAAACAGGTAGAATCATGCTCCTACCTTCGAATTTCAATAACTTCGATGGCGGGCTCCCGAGCGCCGCGCGCACCGCACCGCCTGGACTCCCCAGCGCCATTTCTGCGTTGCCGTTGCGTAAATACAGCATTTCTGCTTACCAAGAACTCTACAAAATGTACGGGACCAAGGTAAACCATTCGTCGTGTTTAAGGCAGTACATATGTAAATAATCACAAAACAGGTAGATTCATGATCTTACCTTCAATTTTTTATAATTACGATGGCGAGCTCCCGAGCGCCGCACACACACAGCACCCATGACAACCGGCGCCATTACTGCGCGGGTCACAACATTACTGCGCATCAAGCAGCATCAAGAACCATACAAATGTACCCGGCCAAGGTAACAAGAATCCATGAAATTTGATCCTTGATGCCAACAGGACCATGGGTTTGCAGGGGGATTGGGTGGGGAATGTAAAGCAAAATGAGAACATGGCAGCTAAATAAAAGCTCACTACATGATGCCTATATATGGCATGGAACATGGATGCCAATGGGATGCTGGGTGAAGAGGATATAGGGTGGGGAGGTTAGGTTAGGTTAGGTTAGGTTAGGTTAGGTTAGGTTAGGTTAGGTTAGGTTAGGTTAGGTTAGGTTAGGTTAGGTTAGGTTAGGTTAGGTAGGTTAGGTTAGGTTAGGTTAGGTTAGGTTAGGTAGGTTTGGTTAGGTTAGGATTTTGTCTCAACTTCAAACTGTTCCTCTGCTAGCCAGACAGACCAATAAGTAATTTATCAGTGCAAAGCAGCTAAGTGATGAAAAGGCCACTGGCCACCCTATATCAAAATGATTGGTGCTGAGTTTTTGACAGGTAATCATTATGATCGTGTAGCATATCTCACCAAGTGCCGTTTGATTTTTCACCAGAACCAGCAGCTCTGGCAAAACCAAGAATCTTCAGCTCATATGAGTACCATGACAGATTCCATGTGGAATTTGTGGGTTGTGGGTGCAAGCTGTGCTGCTATATCAGGAATGACTCTGCTTTGGTGGCTGAAGAAGAGAAATTCAGCAAAGGTAAGGCCTTGTGAAGATGCCAGTTATTGCATAACTATGGCTTTTGCTTATTATTGGAAGGTGCATTCAGTTATGGAAAAGCATTATGTATTGCCATTTTTCTTTGCCACATATTATGCTTCACTAATGTTAACATCTATTTGAGGTTTCAAAGTTCCTTGCTGTAGCCAGCTCGGTGACACAGCCTAATAAGCCCCCCACAAGCCAAGGCAAGTTATGTGACCCCATCAGGCAGCCTGCTATGCCCAGGCTCAGTGCTGAGATTGTGACATCCTCTGACAGCCCGAGTACTACGCGCGGGTCGAGCGGCGTTTGGAGCTGGAGCGGCAGCGACGTGTCCAGTTGACCAAACACCTTCTGGTTGATGGTAACCTGATCACCGAGGAGAGGATGGACATCCTGGAGCTGCCTTTGCTGCAACTGATAGAACAGTTGCAGGTGGGGCAGTTTGAAGGCCGTCCAGGTACTCAGAGCTTACCAGGCCAAGGTGAGTGTTTTGGCAAGTGTATTTCTAAGCTCTGGTAGGGTGTATTTCTGTGCTCTGTCTGAGACCATTGATATGTAGATGTTTCCATTTGCAGTGTACCCATCTGAGGATGATGTGCTGTTGAACATTTGACATAATTTGTTGACTTTGTACTTTCTTGTGTGACATACATGCACTATTTTCAGGCTCTGCAAGCATCAGCAAAATACAACTGTGTTACAGAGTTTGTTGCAAACTGCTGAGGTGAGACTTGTACTATAATGACAATGTTTAACACCTGTATGCTTTCATTAATCAAGATGATGTTTCCTGACACTTCAATTCAAAGTCATCATAATTATTGTAAATGTCGTGAGGGAAGGATGAACACAGGGCAAATGACAATGCAGTGCAGATCTGACTACCAAAAGTGAAATAATAAACTAATCACCTGATCGAGTGACTAAATTTGCTTAATGGCACACCTGACCAATGAGTTGTGACTTGTGACAGTGCTGCACACTGGCCTGTGCTGGTACTCGTGACCTGGCACTCTGCCGCTGACTGGTGCCGATGTCGCTAGAGCCGGGCATCGGTGCTGGACCGCCTGCCGGCGGCGGCGCGCGGCCCTCTGCACGGCCTTCCCTTCAGCGTGAAGGACTGCGTCGACCTGGAGGGCTACGACTCAACAGCCGGGCTGGCCAAGCACCTGGGCCAGCCGGCGTCGCGCTCGGCGCCTGTCGTGCAGACGCTCATCGACCTGGGCGGCGTGCCCTTCTGCAAGACCAATGTCCCACAGACCATGATCAGGTGAGCACTCGCTCGCCGGCCGGGCGAAAAACGACAGCGCGTGTGCACCCACACGTGCGCGCGTCCGCGTGCGTTAGCGTGCGTGTGCACGTGCTAGTGCGTGTGCGTATGCACCACCTTACGGTGAAGGTCTGTGAAGAAAACCTTCGCGCCGCCGACACAAGGTGGCGAACGGCAGTCGGGCCGGCCGGCGGGAGAGAGGCGGCGACAAGCCGTGCTCGAGCAGGTGCAGAATGTCATTAATAAAGCAATGTGGTGGAGAACAAATGCTCGGCGTGCATGCAAAGAGCTTAATGGGGGCCTGACGGGCACAACTTCCTGCAGTAGTAGGTTGCGACCGTCTTGTCGTCTTCCAGTCCGAAATTGGCTTTCTTCATGCGCTCCGCGTGGGTGGCGGCCGCTTGGCTAAGAGTCGCCGCGTGTCTAACAGCACCCTTCCCTGCGGATCACCTGCAATATCGCCGAAACTGTTAAAAACGTAGCACACGTGCCGGTATGTGAAAATTGTAGAGCAGTGCCGGCCCGTTCTATCGCATTTGGGTCCGAAAATCCCGCTAGAGAAGTGGTTTGAGGCGGATGGCGGCCGCCTGACCGAAAATTGCTTCGGGTCTAGTAACGTACCTCCTTGCAGATAAGGCAAAACCATCTAGATAGGTAGAGATCTGATGCCTTTCTTCTCGCCTCCATCGAATCCACCTGGAGTCTAGTCGAGTACAATAAGTTAAGGGTTGAGCTAGACGAGGTGGCTATAACCAACGCTAAATACGCCTAAAAGGATTTCTTACTGAATTTCACTCACTTTCCTCTCAGGATTCGAGGAAGTGGTTCGCAGCCCTCCCAACTGAGTAAAGCTACGCCCCTGAAGTCGAGTTTTGTCTTGCGACCTCGACCCCCCCATTTCACAGGTCCGGCTGCAGTGACCGGAACCCCTTGCCTTTGAACCTAACTCGCTCTCTCGCAGGTTCGGCTGTGCCTACCCGGCTTCACCTTGTGACCCCTACTGGGACGCATGGCCTTAAGTTCTCACCGGAATTTGGCTACTGTAACCCGATATACCCTTGCCTCGCAGATTCGGTTGCAGCAGCCCGATGTACCCTTGCCTCGCAGTTTCGGTTGCAGTAACCCCATGTACTCTTGCCTCGCATTGTCGGTTGCAGTAGCCCGATGTACTCTTGCCTCACAGCTTCGGCTTGTAGTAACCCAATATACCCTTGCCTCACAGGTTCGGTTGCAGGTAACCTGATGGTACTCTTGCCTCGCAGCTTCGGTTTGCAGTAACCCGATGTACCCTTGCCCCGTAGATTCGGTTGCAGTAAACCCGATGCACTCTTGCCTCGCAGATTTGGTTGCAGTAACCCAATGTACCCTTGGCCTTGCAGTTGTCGGTTGCAGTAACCCGATGTACTCTTGCCTCGCAGTTTCGGTTGCAGTAACCCGATGTATCCTTGCCTCGCCAGTTTTGGGGTGCAGTAACCCGATATACCCTTGCCATCACAGCTTCGGTTGCAGTAACCCGATGTACCCTTGCCTCGCAGCTTCGGTTGCAGTAACCTGATGTACCCTTGCCTCGCAGATTCGGTTGCAGTAAACCCGATGTATCCTTGCCTCGCAGCTTCGGTTGCAGTAACCCGGTTTGGGGCGTCACGACCAACATCTACGACGGCCGGCGCGTAACCGGGCGGCTCTTCGGGCGGCGAGGGCGTGCTGGTGGCGGCCGGCGGCTCGCCCCTCGGTGTCGGCACAGACGTGGGCGGCAGCGTGCGCGTGCCAGCGCTCTTCTCCGGCTGCTACGGCTTTCAAGCCCACCTGCGGACGCCTCAGGTCAGTCGGCGTCTGCTGGCAGGCGTGCGGGCGTCAGGCGAGGCTGTCCGTGGCGAGAGACGGTCTCTTGCTGTGACAGCCCTGTCGTGGCAGCTCAGGGCCACATTACCTGACTATCAAGTGGTGAACAGAGTCCCCGTACTTGTCAGCTTTGCTATCATGTGATAAACGGATTTTCTTCCTTTCCACCATGTTTTGGAGGCTTTGTGAGAGATCAGTCACATTGTGTTTGATGAATACCTTCTAGTGGCCAGCTTTTTCACATGAGTTTGTTTGATCTCCGACGCATGCCCAACCGACGTGGTCATGAGCTTCCAGCCCTGCACACCGGCTGTTACAACGGGGCCAGAGCTAGACAGCATTATCATGCACCGAATTAAAACTCACCCCGCGATCTAAAGGCCGTTTTGCTGCGCCGATCGCGGCTAGTTTCTCCGTGGTGTGAGCGTGGCCTGGGACGGCGATTTGTGTGGCAGATGACCACGGGGCCTGCTTAGATGAAACTGCCCCACCCGGGGCCGTTGTCTCGCGTCTCTGGTGAAACCGGCGGAGTCATTCGAAGCTACCAGTCATTTGCGTACGTGCCAATCGTCACTTTCAAGCAGCGCGGGGCTAGCCAGATGCTGTCAGACCGGATCTGCACGCCGCCCTCGCTGGGGCAAGCGTTTTTGTGCTGGCCGATACAGATGGACGCCGGCGTGCCGTGCTGCCGCAGATGGCCATGTGGCTGGGTGTGCGGCGTGGCCCCGTGGCTGACGGCCGGTCGGTGTGGTTTTCAGCTGCGTCGGTCTGCGCGCGGTGCTGCCGGCCACGTTCGGAGGTGAGAGCGCCAGCCGGTGCCGCTGCCCGCCGCGTGCGCGCCCGTCTCACTGTCTCTGCCGCAGGGCGGAGCACGACTGTGCGGCGGGTCTGGTCTCGTCTCTCTCAATGGCTCTGTCCACAAAGCCAGAACTGATGTGTTGTGTGGATTGGTCAGACCAGTCGCGTGTGGTCAGGACGCTTCTGCGGCAGGGCGGTGATGTAACGCGTGTTCGCACCGGCATGCCACCTTCCGTTTGATAGCCACGCTATTGTGTCTACAATGCTAATGTGTGGCGTGTATTTGGCGTCAAAAGAACCGAACGCTGCATATGTTTTTTTGTGTTGTTGTTGCTGTTGTGACAATTTTGGTCCTTGTCCCCCGCCTACAATGAGTTTTTGTGAACTTAACATGTGCTAACAAGTGTTTACACCTGTGAACCCAACACTAGAACTTACGTCGAATCGTAGGCCAGACTGTTGAAAAGGCATTATCAGAGCCTTTCCCGGAGCACCTGATCCAGGTGTTTGCTTCGGGCAGAAATGTGCATTTATACACGGTGGTGGTTGAAGACGGAAGCAGGCGCAGGATGTGGTTTGATTTGCAGCGGCTGGGCGAAAGGGTGTTGCACCTCCTCAGCTCGCCCAGTTTATACTTCCGAAATTCATTGCAGTTTAGAGAAGCGTTGGTTTGGGGCGGGGCGGAGGAGGGGGGGGGGACCGGTGGGGGGGGGGGGGGGGGGGGGGGGGGGGGGGGGGCTATGTTTGACCGCATCAGACCGTTGAGGCAATGTTTCATCCATCAAGCACCTGAAAATGAGCAGCCCTACTGAGTAAGATCTGACGACAGGTGATAGTTCTTAACTCGGTCGAAAAGCGCGTGGTCTTTGTTAGGGTACCAGGACTGGTTGGTGGTTGAGAAGGCCGATACTTCTGCCAAGGAGGCCGCAGCTGGCCCACGACCTAGTTCTGCTCGCGCACCACACTGATATTAAACAGCTGCTTTTGACAGTTACTTTCCGCCCTTCTGAAAGAAAAAGGGCAACAATCTGGGGACCAGGGGAGCACAGACAGCCATGGCGATGCGAGAAATAGGCTTAGGGCAGTACAGGACAGAGTGGTTAACTGGACCTCCGCACACCACACAAAAGCAGGAAGGAGAGAAGGTCAGTCTCTGTTGCCTCCGTATCGGCCACACCTACGCAGCGCACGGTTTTCTTCCGTCCGGAGGTCAAGCGTCATCGTGTCCCAGATGCGGTAACTCACTGTCAGTTGGCCAAGTGCTCGTGCAGTGGCCTTACCAGAAGCTGAGCGCCAGTGTTATTTCGGCCCCCACGCACGGTGGAGACTGTCTCTGCTCGCCTTCATTGGGAAGAACCGGTCGCTTACATTAAGATCGTTTTATATTTAATCATGCATGCAACTTTTGATGCAATCTAATCACCTCTTAATGCCCTGTGACTGTGTCTGACTCTAACTTTGGTACGCCTAACTTAGGCTCCGCGACTTAGACCGCTTAACGCACGGTACGTACGCACGCCTCGCTGAAATGAAGACCGTCTGCCCAAGTCATGGGCGCAAAATAGCCGCTCCAACCGACGCGCCCATGAAACCAAAATACCATCCCATACTACTTCGACGCACGCGCCTCTGCACTCACTATAAAAGGTGTGTAGTGTTGGCTGCAGTTGGGCCGACACGCCTCACGCCACGTCACGTGCCCACTGTACGCGCCACAGTCGGCTTTCTCAGACGCCTGACGGCACGTTACGTGCCCAGGTACGCGCCACAGTCGGCTTGCTCAGATGCCTTACGGCAGTCATGCCCACGGTATGCGCCACAGTCGGGTTTCTCAGACGCCTGACGGTGCGTCACGTGCCCACAGTACGCGCCACAGTCGGCTTTCTCAGACGCCTAACGGTGCGTCACGTGTCCACAGTAACGCGCCACAGTCGGCTTCCTCAGCCGTGAGATAGCCGGCCTGCAGAAGGTGATGGAGCTCCTGACCTCGCCACTCGAGGCGGCGGACATGTACCGGCTGGACCCGCTGGTGCCGCGAGTCTACTGGAACAGCCAGGTGGGGCAGACGGCCATCGGCTGCGGTGACGGTGGCTCGCTCCAATGGCGGGACGTCGGTGGCGTCAGTATGGTTCCAATGGCTGGAACTGTTGGTGGCGGGTGGCTGGGTTCCAATGGCGGGACTTCGGTGGCGTTGGATGGGTTCCAATGGCTGGGACTGTCTGTGGCGTTGGGTGGGTTCCAATGGCGGGACTGTCTGTGGCGTTGGCAGGGCTTTCATGGCTGGGACTGTCAGTGGCGTTGGCTGGATTTTAACGGGTTTGCGGGTCCAGCACAGGCTTGAACGGGGTATTTGCTCTGTCAAGCTACACCCAGTTTGTTGATTTGGTTTTGGTTGTGGTAACATTGTGAGATATTGGGTTGGTTCGAATCGAGGGCCCTTTGTTGTGCGTGTGCTGGAGACATCGTTGATACAGACGTTGCTTCCCTGTCTGGCCAGCTGACCCATTCTTCGGATCACACACTTGGCGCTTCCCGAAGCGCGCAAATGGCCAGGCGTTAGCAGCCACCATAGCTGGTCGGCGGAGCCTGCCGTGTTGTTGCAGCCACATGGCTGGTCGTGGGCCCTGCCGGTGGTTGGCAGCCACTATGGCTGGTCGGCGAGGCCCTGCCGGTGTTGGCGCCCACTATGGCTGGTCGGCGAGGCCCTGCCGGTGTGGCAGCCCACTATGGCTGTCGGCGAGGCCCTGTCGGTGTTGGCAGCCACCATGGCTGGTCGCGGGGCCTGCCGGTTTGTTGGCAGCCACTATGGCTGGTCGGCGAGCGGCCATGCCGGTTTGTTGCAGCCCATATGGCTGGTCGGCGAGGCCCCCTGCCGGTGGTTGGGCAGCCACTATGGCTGGTCGATGGCCCTGTCGTGTTGGCAGCCACATGGCTGGTCGGCGGGGCCCCTGCCCCGGTGTTGGCAGCCACCATGGCTGGTCGGCGGGCCCTGCCGGTGTTGGCAGCCACTATGGCTGTCGGCGAGGCCCTGCCGGGTGGCAGCCACTATGGCTGGTCGGCGCTGGCGACGGCTGACAGTCGGTGTCGCTCCGCCGCAGATGGCCGGCGGCCGGCGCCGCTGGGGGTCGCTACGTGGCGGACCTGCCCACGTTCCCGAGCACGCCCGGCTGCCGGCGCGTGCTGACAGAGACCGTGCAGGCGCTGGAGGCGGCCGGCCACGAGACGCACCCTTCCACCTGGAGGCGGACCACGCCGCCATGGATATTATCATGCGGACGGTGATACCGGATAACGGGGTCTACATGACGCGCGCTGTGTGAGTGGAAGGAGGGGATGCACGGGAGGGGCGGGGGGGAGGGGGGGGGGCATCCTGAGCGGGAGCACCACTCAAGGGGACCCATCTCACACTTGGGTGGTTGCTACCTAGCCGCCTGTAAGCTGGCTGAGGCAGGCTGTCAAGTAGAGAGCTCTTGTGCGTGTACAGTCGCTCGGACTGGACGGCCGCCTGTGAAGGGAGGCGTGGAGGGGGGAGGGGGGGGGGGAGGCGTTGTGTGGACACAGCGAATGGGAGCACCGGACGAGCGGAATACTTTTGTTTTTTTGGGGGGGGATGCGACAATGGGGGTTTCTCGACGATTGGGGTGTGGACAATGGTACTGTGGATTTGCCTCCTGCGTTTACTGGGCGTAGGTGAGGATGGCACCTTATGGATGAATACTGAGTAGAAGCTCATGCGAACCGTCGCAATTTTTGACAATCATGTCACCTTTTGGTGACGGGGATGAAAAAGGGATCCTGCATCGCAGCACTTCTACCCTATCCCTCTCCCTGTCTCCCTCTCCGTCTCCCTCTCCGTCTCCGTCTCCGTCTCCATCTCCCCTCTCTTTCTTCCTCCCCCTCTCCCTCCTCCTCCCCCTCTCCCTCTCTCCATCCATCTCCCTCCCTCTCCCTCCCCCTCCCGTCTCCTCTCTCTCTCCCTCCCTCCTCGCCCTCTCCCTCTCCCTCTCCCCTCTCCCTCTCCCTCGCCCTCTCCGTCTCCGTCTCCGTCTCCCCCTCCGTCTCCCTCTCTCCCTCTCCCTCCCCATCTCGCTCTCCTCCCTCCCTCTCCCTCTCCCCTCCTCTCCTCTCCCTCTCTCCCTTCCCTCTCCCTCTCCTCTCCCTCTCCCCTCCTCTCCCCTCCCCTCCCTCTCCCTCTCCCTCCCTCTCCCTCTCTCCCTTCCCTCTCCCTCTCCCTCTTCATCTCCCTCTCCCTCTCTCTCCCTCTCCCTCTCCCTCTCCTCCTCCCTCTCCTCTCCTCCCTCCCTACCTCCCTCCCTCCCTCCCTCCAGTGGCTGCGGGCCAACCGCCGGCGGTGGTGGTCAGTGTGGACGGCCTTGCTTCGGGCGTCCCTCACCAACCGCCGTCGCCCCGCAGCGCTGATGAGGAGGTGGACAAGAGCATCGAGACGCTCGTGGCCATGCTGCGCGTCCCGCGCTGGCTGCGCGTCCTCATCGCCTGGGGCACCAGCAACAACTTCCGCTACCTTGGGACGCGACTGAAAGGTTGGTCTCAGACATCACGTGGACGGCAGGATGGATTGGAGTTTTCGGACGCTATGTTATTAGAGCGTACAATTTTAGTGATGGAAGGTTACGTCCGTCGGGTAGCCTGCTGCTGAGAGTGACGGAAAAATCAACAAATGATTGGACAACCAGGGGCATAGTCAACCAATGTGCCCCACATAATTGTGCTGGTTGCTCGGGTTATTTCAAGCTACTGCCACAATCACTTCTGAAATTTGGGTGAAGGAGCATGTGCGTGTGTGCGTGTGTATGCGTGTGTGCGCTAGCGTGGCTGCGTTTGCGTGCGTGCGTGTGGTGTGCGTGCGTACGTGTGTGCGTGCGCGCGCATGCTTGAACAACGGCGGACGTAAAGACTGGGTTGCATTCTGAATCCTTCTACGAAAGAAAGCGTGGTTTTTATCAGCTGCCCCACGCTCTGCTGCTGTGTCCGGGCCCGTGAGAGCGCGGGGGAATGACCAGGACCAGGGTAACCGCAGCGATCGGAGGGAGGGGTGGGGGACCGACGGACGGCGTTTGCCTCGAGAGCGCCGTGCATCGCTTCACTCTTGTCCGGATTTCGGAGTCAGCTTGTGCGAATGACAGAGTTTTGTTATATATATATATATATATATAGTTTATATATAAGATGTTAGAGTTTTGGCGTGGGTGGCGGAAGGTTACCGGACTGAGTCAGGTTCGCAACCGCCTGTCAGCGTTGAGACATTGCGAAGACAGTTATTGACACGCACTGACACGAGACACTTATCCAGAGTCGACCAAACTAATTGCACCCGTGACCCTCTCTGACCTGTCCTTGATAAAAGTCTTACTGACACTAGCGTGTCGTTTTTTATATTTGTTAGCTCGCTGTGGTCATGTTGTAAAACCTCAAGAGGACCGCCAAGTCACAAGCGATCAGATTCGGATTGCCGCTAGCGTTGCACGTCGTACCTCGCCCTGCCATTCAGAAAACGCCCCTAACGATACGTCTCTGCCTCCAGCCTTTCGCTAGAACATTGCCTACGTCAAGCCGAATGAGCAGAATTACCGTGAGACGCACCATGCCCGGAGCGAACAAGTGCTGACCAGCTCACAGTGACCTCGTGCATGCCACTGAGTCGGAGTCGGTCGCAGTTCAGCCTCCTCTGCCCTGGCCCGACAGCCTGGACGGGCACCACGGTGGAGGCGGTGCAACTGAAGCTCGCCTGGAATCAGCTGGTCGACCGTACTCTGAAGCAGTGGCGCGCCGCCTCGACCTGCTCGTGCTGCCCGGCTTCATGTGTCCGGCGCCGCCGCATGACATGAGCAATCTGGTCGGTGGGTGACGCTGCGGGCCAGTGGCCGGGCCAGTTGACTGAGCGCCAGCGGCTGAGCGGGGGGGGGTGGGGTGGGGTGGAGTGAGATGAGATGAGATGAGATGAGAGATGAGATGAGATGAGATGAGATGAGATGAGATGAGATGAGATGAGAATGAGATAGGGATGGATGGGATGGGAGGATGGGATGGGATGGGATGGGATGGGATGGGATGGGATGGAATGGGATGGGATGGGATGGGATGGGATGGGTGTGGGGAGGGGGGGGGGGGGGCTGGACGTGGCACCGGCAGGGTGAGTGGAACACCCTCAGGAATTAGGTT